TGTCACAGAAATCCCTGCGATAAGCAATTATTATTGTCATTTTGAGATCGTTTTATGCCACTGATCATATCTTGACTATAGAAAAGCATAATAACACAAACAGCCATAAACACTTTACATTTAGTCATTTAGCAGATGCTTTTATCCAAAGCGACTTACTAATGAGGACAAGGAAGCAATTTACACAACTATAAGAGCAACAATGAAGAAGTGCTGTAGGCATGTTTCAGGTGTGTGAAGCAAGTGTTAGAAGCAAAACAGTAGTATTTTATTATTATTATTATTATTTTTTTTTAATTAATGTAGTTAGTGGAGGGGTCAGAGAGGGAGTTTCATATTAGGAAGTGTAGTGGAGACTAAATAGTTGAGTTTTTAGTGGTTTCTTGAAGACAGCGAGTGACTCTGCTGTTCTGATGCAGTTAGGGAGTTCATTCCGCCAACTGGGCAGATTGAATGCGAGAGTTCGCGAAAGTGATTTGTTCCCTCTTTGGGATGGAACCACGAGGCGACGTTCATTCACAGAACGCAAGTTTCTGGAGGCACATACATCTGCAGAAGTGAGAGCAGATAAGAAGGAGCAAAGCCAGAAATCGCTTTGTAGGCAAACATCAGAGCTTTGAATTTGATGCGAGCAGGAACTGGCAGCCAGTGCAAACGGATGAGCAGCGGAGTGACATGTGCTCTTTTAGGTTCATTAAAGACCACTCGTGCTGCTGCGTTCTGGAGCAGCTGAAGAGGCTTGATAGAGTTAGCTGGAAGCCCGGCTAGTAGAGAGTTGCGATAGTCCAGTCTGGAGAGAACAAGAGCTTGAACAAGGAGTTGAGCTGCATGTTCAGATAGGAAGGGTCGGATCTTTCTGATGTTATAGAGTGCGAATCTGCACGATCGAGCAGTTCTAGAAATGTGGTCAGAGAAGTTTAGTTGGTCATCAATCGTTACTCCAAGGCTTTTCACCATTTTGGATGCAGTAATGGTTGCCCCGTCCATCTGGATTGAAAAGTTATGGTGTAGAGTCGGGTTGGCTTTAAAATGCAAATCATTCTTAAGGTTATTTGGACTGTTAAAAAGGTAAATGTCCTGTTATATATACTATTAAATGTCCTATTTGACGGCAGTGAGGCGGAATGTTATTGAAAAATGGCTTTAACGTTATTTGCCATAGCCATATCACCCTGCAGCTCAAGAGCAGTTACTCACTGAAGCTGAGCAGGGCTGAGCCTGGACGGTGTCTGGATGGGAGACCACATGGGAACACTAGGATGCTTTTGGCAGTGTTGTTAGTGGGGCCAGCAGGGGGCGCTCAACCTGTGGTTTCTATCAGTCCTAATGCCCTAGTATAGTGAAGGGGACTGTATACTGTCAGTGAGCACTGTCTTTCTGGTGAGACATTAAACCGAGCTCCTGACTCTTTGTGCTTATTAAATATCCCATGGCACTTTTCATAAAGAGCAGGGGTGTAACCCTTTCGTCCTGGCCAAATTCCCTCCATCAGCCCTTACTCATCACGGCCTCCCCATCCACTGAATTGGCTCCATCACTGTCTCTCCACTCCACCCATAGCTGGTGTGTGCTGAAGCACTGGCACTGCTGAGTATCATCCAAGTGGAGCTTGTAAGGTCCACCCAGTTGGCCCAATGCCGGTGTCCACTGGTGGATGAAGGTTCACTGCATGTTTGGTCTTTCCAGTGCACAATGTTGATTTATAATAAACTTAACTCATATCTGACTCCAATTTTAGTATGAGGTGGTTTAGAATATTAATATATTTATCCTCGTTTTATCTGACTCCAATTATAAAGCATTAAGAAGATTATATCGATATGTAATTTAGATAAATGTTTGAACCGTTTGTCTTCACTAGTAACTATTACATCCGTTCATTCGGGTGCTCATGACGCTCAGAGAAATCGCCTCGGCCAAAGGCGTCCCTCACGGTCACACTCCGATCAGTCTTGAATATTAAACAGAGGTAAATTGACTAATACTTTAGATGGCCGCTACCAGCGCGCTCGTTCTAAAATACTTTAGTTAGTCCCGCTTAGATGTACACCTTTGAGTTAAGACAATCATCATTTCTAATTAGAGGTTAGGGCATTAATATAAATGTACCCGACTACTGGACTCTATAGTAACTTTGGTTTTCACCAAGCCCATGGTTTCCCATATGAAATTAATTTAGAATAATATTACCTTCAAACAGGTCGGGTACCCAATCTAGGTTAGTCGTGCAACACCTTGTTGACCTAGACGGAAGTTATCGCCCTTTCCACCTAAGTACACATGAATCAATATCAAGAGTCAGCCGGATCGCTAAAACACAATTAGTGTGCCAATGCTCCATCTCAATTGGATTTTAGTCCGTCTACTGACCTGACGCAAGACGTGCGGAAACAAGGATACAGCGTAATCTACTTGAATTAATAATTACAGAGTGAGCAAAATATGGTCAAACATTACAATTTATTAGTCAGGTAAATGTATTATGCCAATTCAATCAGTCAATTCATAAATGATCAATACAAAACATCAAATTATCAAAGATAAATCCAAGATGAAAAAGATGCATTCCTGACTTTGAAATATACATAACATGGGGCAGACCCCATGTTATGGGCTGATCTGGTTAGGCAGAATCGCGCTGAGCTTTTCTTAGCCCTTACCTTAAATAATCCAAGAATTCCCTCAAGGAAGGGGGTGTGAATGTATAACAAAAGGCATTCACACTTAGTGTCACACCCCTCACAGTGGATCAAAAGATGCCTGAAGTTATATATTTATTGTTCTGATTATGTCTATTTCTGAGAGAATGAGACCATTATACCAATCGCACTGAGACATTTCAAATGATATCAAACATGATAGTTAAAGTCAGTTTGGTTAATTCTAGAACATTCAAACATTGAAATGACCATATGTGTGAGTTGGGGGGATGAAGCAGACTCAGATGCAAATGCAGCAGGAACTGGTTTTTCCCGCATTCCTCCCTGGTGGGTTGTGAAGTCACCAGTCTCTGTTTTCAGCTCATGTTTTGAATTGTCAAAGATATCAGAATATTTGTAATATTTCAATTCTTACAAGCTGCACACTGGTGGTGGTGTGGAGAGAACCCCCTCATGATTGTGAAGCACTTCGGGTGTATGGCTATACACGATAAACGCGTTATATAAATACAATATGTAGTTCACCCAGATATGAACATTTCCTGTCAAATTACTCTCCTACAGCTCATCCAAGCTGTGCCTTTTTAACTACAGTAGATCATTAAAGCAGATTTGGAGCTGGATCTGTTGAATTCATCTAATGGCAGTGAATGGTGACAGGTTTATTAGAATAAAAATAAACGCATACTAATGAGTCCAAATCCAGTCATGGCTCCCGATGACACACTAAGGTCTTGTGAAGCTGAACATTTAAAAAGTTGAACATTATGTACAATATGATTACTACTTTTGGCATCAAAAGTGATTGGACTACAATCCAACTACATTGACGCGTGCGCTGGGATCTGTTTGACCAGGCTGTGGATTAACGCTAATAATATTATAAACAATATTACATTTTTTTATCTCTTTAAGCTTAAGTAATCAATTCCAAAATATTAAAGTTTTTCATTTCAACCCTACCTAAAACTAATTGCTAATATTGTATTATTTTTCCCTCCAGGAAGCAGTTCTCTAGACACACTACTGGCTCTCCTGCAGACCGAGGGAGCGAAGATCGAGGAGGAGACCGAGGTAAAGGCGTTTCTCACATTCACTCCAATATCAAAACACTTTTGCAGGGAAAATCACTGGCTCTCAGTTAAGTAACTGACATTGAGTACGTTCACATGGACACCAATAATCCGATTAAGACAACACTCTGATTAAGAGTCTACCATGTAAACAGCACATTTTTAATCAGATTAAGATCATCATCGAACTAAAGAGAAATCGAATCAAGACATGTGGAGTATGCTGATTTTAGTCGCATTATTGAAGTGCAGTACTGACATATAAACACTGAAATTAAACTACTACCATCATGTAGGACTTTTCCCTGTGTTTTGCGACGGGATAGTCCACACACACACACGGCTGTTTGACACTATTCTTTGCACCTACCGAGTCAGTAAAGACCACAGACACCGTGAAAGGCAGAGGTTTTTTCTTCCATTCAGCGTGCGGTATCAAACGCCATTAAAACTACCCTCCTCCAACAGTTCATAGTTGCATCCAATATCTCGTTTGTCACGGGGGCATGCATGAAATGTTCCTGAATGAAAGTGAAAGTGCCAATCTGCAGTTAAAGTTCACAAATTAAAAATGAAACACCCAGAAAACTTTAGAGGAAACCTGAATGGCGTGGAGACGCAATGGTGTTAATCAAATTATGTGCTACAGTTGTAAAACAGGATCATGAAAGGAACATTCAAAAAGCAGCTCATGTAAACGCCTTACAGGGCACCCAGGTTACCCCTTTTTACAGTCTTTTGCGTCTCCAGAATGTGTCTGTAAAGTTTCTCATCAGATTATTTATTAGACCTTTCACAAGTTTGTGATTATTAGCTCTGAGCATTGTGTTGCTGTTTTTGTGGACTGCTCCTTTAATGCTAGTCCTCCCTGCCCACCGCCTGTAAGTGTGCCTCAATCTCTGCACTCGACTGCATCAGACAACAGACAGACATGAAGGGAGCAGATCTCGCGTGACGTTTGTGAGAAATACTACTGTGAGAACTTTCCCAATGATTATTTGATGTATTTGTTGTGGAGATACAAAAATGAGTCACACACAATGTTGTTATAAAGTTCACGCACACACACAGATACACACACACAGATACACACACACACACACACAGACAGTTTTTGCAGGCATATGTGACAGGATACAGGTTAATATTCACTGCTGTGTGGATATCTGTTATGTTAGTATACAAAATAAACCTGATTTAACGTCCACAAACCGGGATTGAAGCGTCTTCTTTTATAATTGTTCTGAGACACACCTGTGCTGATAAAGTAAAGCTGAAGTAAATCGCTGTATTGCATTATCATGCACTGTGTTAAACTTGTGAAACTCACTCTTGATCACATTTGATGATTGATGATCCTAGCAAACTGAACAGACCTTTTATTCCCAGTTGCTTTGCGCACGTCCCATCTTGTTGATATGATTATACACATTACTACGGAGATATGTTACGCAACTGTCAATCAATTTGGTGGGCCCTTAAATCACTTTATTGTCTTAATTAGATTAAGGCAAATAATTTGAGAGGGGTCTGGATGCAGACTTGGTGCAGTGCAATCTGAGCTGCATCCAATGCTTTTTAATGCACTCACCTAACCCCAGCTGCCACAGTGATGTCACTCACTCCATTGAGTGCATTGTGTCTGACATTGCATCGCTGAGTGATGCAATCTCAGCATGCATCATAAAGGTTGCATCAAGATACTATTGAAAAATTTGATTACTGATGTCCATGTAAACGTAGTCACTGAGTAATACTCATGTGATCAGCTGAGGACAAAAAAGAAGGAAGATGAGAAAAAAAAGAGAAATATATGTATATACAGTTGAAGTCAGAATTATTAGCCCCCCTGTTTATTTTTTTCCCCAATTTCTGTTTAGCAGAGAGCAGTTTTTTTTAAACACATTTCTTATCATAATAGTTTTAATAACTCATCTCTAATAACTGATTTATTTTTTTTATCTTTGTCATGATGACAGTAAATAATATTTGACCAGATATTCTTCAAGACACTTCTATACAGCTTAAAGTGACATTTAAAGGCTTCACTAGGTTAACTAGGCAGGTTAGGGTACTTAGGCAAGTTATTGCATAATAATGGTTTGATCTGTAGACTATCGAAAAAATATAGCATAAAGGGGCTTATAATATTGACCTTAAAATGGTGTTTAAAAAATTAAAAACTGCTTTTATTCTAGCCGAAATAAAACAAATAAGACTTTCTCCAGAAGAAAAAATATTATCAGACATACTGTGAACATTTCCATGCTCTTTTAAACATCATTTGGGAAATATTTTAAAAAGAAGAAAAAAGTCAAAGGGGTGAATAATCCTGACTTTAACTGTATATATTTGTGCTTGTTTTTAAATAAATATTAGAAACAATACTTTTTAATAATAATAATGCATGTATTATTTATATATTTAAACAATTCAAGTTTATTTTTATGTTTTAGCAGTTTCAATGTTTAGCAGTGTAATAGCCACCTAAGAAATAATAGGTTTACAGTACTTTGTAACATAAATTCGGGACAGATCCACACATCACCGCTAGATGGAGCCACTAACTCAGTGCTCTTGTGTCAACAGAATATAAATTTTCCTGTAATTTAGTGGCTCTTTATTCCATGTGATAAATAAACTACTAGTCAGTCAACAATTCAAACTGTTTTAAGCCATTAAGTCGTTTAAAGGCCTTAAAATATCAGGTCCAGTTGAATTGAGTAGCCTAATTTAACATTTCACCCTGAAATAAGTATACTTCATTCATTCATTTTCTTTTCGGATTAGTCCTTTTATTCATCAGTGATCGCCACAGCAGAATGAATTGACAACTTATCCAGCACATGCAGCGGATGCCCTTTCAACTGCAACCCATCACTGGGAAACACCCAAACACACTCGTACGCTACAGACAATTTAGCTTACCCAATTCACCTATACCATGTTTTTGGACTTGTGGGGAAAACCAGAGCACCTGGAGGAAACCCATGCCAACATGGGGAGAACATGCAAACTCCACACAGAAATGCTAAATGACCCAGCCGGAACTCGGAACTAGTGACCTTCTTGCTGTGAGGTGATCGTGCTACCCACTGCATCACCGTGCAGCCCCAAAATAAGTATCATACATCACTAAAAAGAGTTGATCACTATCACTCTCTCTTTCCTTCAGCGTAGTCTCTGCATTTAATTAGTTACATTGAATATATTTTTGTATTATCATCTACTTAACTTTCAGGTATTAAATTTGAGATGCCTGCCTGTTGCACTGAATAAATGACATGAGAACAGATGATTTGCAGAGGATAATGACACATGTGCATCATGGCTTTATTTATAATGTACAGAGAGTGCACGTGGTCGTGACATGCAGTTGTGAGAGCAGAAAAGGTGAGCACAGCCGCGCGGATTTAAAACCATCTCATAATCTCGTGTATTGTCAGCAGCTTCCACATATGCGCACATTATAGGACTACACAATATCATTATATTGCATACACAGTAGCATAGGTAAGTCTGCAATTAAATCCCTGCATGACATCCGGAATGAAGCAGTTACTGCTCCTTGATGAACTCTGAGGGGGCGAACCCTCAGGTCCTCTGCTTTGATGCTGATGAACCAAATTTTTTTTAATGCAAATTACAGGGGTCGCCCTGACCAATCAAATGCTCTGTAGTATCTGACATGCCCCGCCCCTTTCTCATTGGCTTTTCATTTGATGTGCTTGAGCTCAACCACTCTCACTGGCAGAGCTGTGGGAAGACTAAACACTATTGGCTGTTTTTATAAAGAGGAGCTTCTCTGTTCCGCCCTCGCTTCATTGTATAGTTGGGATTACGTTGTGCATTTTTAAAGCATTTCCCAGGACCATTAATAATCTTATCTTTGTTAGAATATGGCGGATTCATTTCTGGATGGCTCCATGCCGCTAGACAGCTTCATTGATGACTATCAGAGCAAGCGAAAGCTGGCGCACCTGAGGAGAGTAAAGATCGATAAACTGCAGGAGATGCTGCTGAAGGGTGTCCATCTTCCTCATGGATCCTCAAATGAACATCAGGAGAGTCTGAACTCCTTCCAGAGGCTCTCCAATGGATCTCCAGCTCATGCAAAACCCACGTCTCAGGCGTCTGCTAGTCCATATGCCAATCTGCCAAACGCCATGCCATCATCATATTCATCTGCATATCCTCAAGGACCCGGCTCGGCTCTTCCAGGCTTTATACTGTAATGATGCTCCTCAGACCTGAAGCTCTCCACTAGAATGTGAAACATCTTTTCCTCTTTCTTTAGATGCACTTTTATCTGAAACAGGTTTGGGTTTCTGTTTTGCAGGTCCACACTGAATCTGTAGGGCTTTTTGCACACTTGAAAAAGTTAACCCCGGGTCATTATTCTAAACCACTGCTGATAATGGAGACTTTCCACATGTGTGTGTGTTTCTGCACAGCAGAAGTGGTCGTAGTGTGTAAAGTCTAGTAAAACTGGGAGAGAACAACAAATCATTATTCTACAATCCTATTAGCTGAAATAATGACAGAGAAACTCCAGGATGGTGTTATCAAGACTTTCAGAAAGAGAAAACACTAGTGTGAGACTGATAAAGGCAGCTAGAAGAGAAAACCTTGTCAGATTTACTGTCCTGCCACCATACACACCTCACACACACGCGCTTATTCGTTCATTGTAATTTTATCTAAAGATGATTTTATATACAGTATTTAAAGAGTTCAGATGCAAAACCCTCTTAGCGCCATCTGAAATTTTCTTCTAACACTTCCATTTTTCTCAGGCTTCTATGTCTTGGTTCAGAAATGTCACTTTTATGGTAAATATTGAGTTATTTTTAGCACTTTCAATATAAAATTACTGAACATAAACCTAAAGGCTTAGAAAAATGCTCATTGTAAAAAAAATTACAGATGGCACTTAGAGGTTTTTGCTTCTGAACTCTATCTATCTATCTATCTATCTATCTATCTATCTATCTATCTATCCATCCATCCATCCATCCATCCATAAATATATTAAAAACTTTCAAGGATTTAGGATGCTGTTGGTGTCATTACAGTCTTGTGAAAAGGCTCCACATGTCCATGGCTAATGATTAATCCTGGTTAATAAATGTTTATTTAACTCTGATAATTGATCAACAGAATAATTGACTTCAGTCTGTTGAATTATTAGAAGATAATGTACCACACCTGCACATTATTTTCTATAAAGAGTAAGGGGCCGATCACACCGAACACTTTATGCGTCGAGGCGACTTTTTAAAAATAGTTTACTAACGTCCGCGAGGATTTTGCGCGCTGCTTATGCGCCATGCTTTAACCGCCTGCTGCACCTCGTGTTTTTGCCCTTACGCATGCAGTTGAAAAAAGTCAACTCTGAGCAGAAAAAGCGTGTTACGCCAGTCGTGTTTCTTTTCTGTTCTGAGTTATTCGAAACTTTATGACTTCACAAATCTTGAACATCACAATATTATTAGATGTTAAAGTTATCAGCAGCAACACTCTCGCAAAATACCCAGCTGATGCAGTCGTTGTCTCGCGACAGAAAGCTCACAGCGCTCTTTTTTTTTTTTCTTGTCAACAAAAAGGCAGTGAGGTGCACCTCGCGTCTTTGGAATATAAACGCACATTCGGTGTGATCGGCCCCTTAAAGTTAATTTTCACAACAATACCACAGTATAGCCAACCTAGTGCTGTGTTTGTTCCTGTCATTTTCCTGACGATTGATACAAAGACCTACGCTGCATTGTGGTATTTGTCAGCCATTTGACAACACTTTGTATATGTGTTGTGTTTCTGTGACCACCTACAGCAGGGGTCACCAATCTCAGTCCTGGAGGGCCGGTGTCCCAGCAGGGTTTAGTGTTTGCTTAGGGTTGGGGCTGAAATCTGCAAGACACCGGCCCTCCAGGAACAAGTTTGGTGTATATAATATTGCATATAATTTATATATATATATATATATACCACAATATAATTGGTTGCATATAATATAATGTTTTCTAGCATTAACACCATTATTGCACACATTTAACACCACAATCTTCAAGTTACACTCAAAACTCTTGAAAGCAGTGTTTAGAGTGATGATAACCTGGGGTTAAGCGCAATGTGAAAAGCCATATTCTCTGCCCTGTATTTCAGCAACCTAGTCTCCTCTCCATTAAATCCAGCCCACAGAGTTTAGTCACAGATTTTGTGCGGACCTGCTTGATGGTTAACACTATTAATTTCTGTTAGTTTGCTTAACATAAAATGCTGTGAGATGCATTGAGATTATAATTCAGAATGAAACGTCATTGACATGATTTCGGGTTATTGCTTTTCTTGTAAATACTCCTGACTGACTGAAAATGACATTTTTGTTTAAATCAGGTGGAAATTATTCTTATGCATATATAAGACAATTGTACTGTGTACTTTTGTATTTGTGTGAGAAAAAACACTGTAATGATAATGAGAAAACATTAGCATTTTGGACTCCTGGGTTAAAACTGACCAAAGATGCACTCCGTCTGTACCCCGAGCGCTTCTGATAATAGCATATTTGTTGAACTTAACCCTTAATCAGTTTTTATTTATACCTCTACTGTTCACACACTCCTGTGGCATTAATAGACCAGCCTGACTGTAGGTCTGCTGTTGGAAACACTTTCTTAGAAGAAATCAAACAGTTTAATTATCCTTAACTGAAGCGAAATACACTTAAAAGAGCTAGCATATTAAATCTAAGACAAGAACTATATTATTCAAATAAACAAACACTGTTTACAATGTAAAGTGATCTATTTTGGCTCTGTATAACTGATGAAATCTGTCTTTGCAGAGAAGTGCCGGTACTTTGATGTAAAAAAAAAAACAATTGTCATGCTGGGTTGTGACAGTTCTTGTGCACGTTTTATATGAAGGATGTTATTATGCAAGTGTGTCACGAAAGAAAAGTCACTTATACTGATGTAAGTACAGGTAAAAGAAATCAAATGTGCCTTGCAACAGAACAAACAAGTGACGTTTAATGAAGACGAATAAAGCATTTAATCACAGTCGTCGTGCTTTGAATCTTCAAAGCCATTTACAATTAATTCTGTTTCTCAAGACAATTAATGGTGCAGAACCCTCTGAACTGTTTATCAATAGCGCAGTAACCTGTAACACTCCTTATGTAAAGTACTGTATATTGTAGCTGTTTAGATTAGTTAGTGGTGACTACAATTTTTTTATGCTGATTAATAAATGCTTAAAAGATTAATAAAGGTGTCCATGTTTATTATTTATTGGAACTTTAGTAGTGAACTCAAGCTTTATTCTTCTCCCTCCGCTTCTCCTTCTCCATCAATAGTGTCCACACCCACCTCCTCGTAATCTTTCTCCAGAGCGGCTAAATCTTCCCGAGCCTCCGCAAACTCGCCCTCCTCCATGCCTTCTCCGACATACCAGTGCACGAAGGCTCTCTTTGCGTACATGAGATCAAACTTGTGATCCAGACGGGCCCAGGCCTCGGCGATGGCTGTGGTGTTGCTCAACATGCACACTGCTCTCTGGACTTTGGCCAGATCTCCTCCTGGAACTACAGTCGGCGGCTGGTAGTTGATCCCGACCTGATTACAGCCAGAAACAAAGCAGTTAAATGTTTAAGCACACGTAACAACACTCATATATGTGCATACACTGTTGCTGAGTGAACATCAATGCTGCAATTATTTGATTATTCATTCAGAGTTCACCACAGCGGAATGAACTGCCAACTATTTCAGCATGTGTTATACAGCGGATGCCCTTCCAGCCGCAACCCAGTACAGCCATGCACACTCATACACTACAGCCAATTTAGTTAATCAGTTCCCCTATAGCGCATGTGTTTAGACTGTGGAGGAAACCGGAGCACCTGGAGGAAACCCACACCAACACGGGGAGAACATGCAAACTCTACAAAGAAACACCAGCCGGAACTCAAACCAGCGACCTTCTTGCTGCAAGGTTAACCACTAAGCCACCGTGCCGCCTTGATTATTAATATTGTAAAGTATTTTAATTCTAAATAGCTATTTTCTGTGTGAATATACAGTTAAGTGTAATTTATATCTGTGATGTAAAGCTGAATTATCGTTACTCCAGTCTTCAGTGTCTCACTGATCATTCAGAAATCAATATATTATGATGATGAATATCACACAATGTAGAAGGGATGGGCGATTAATCAAAAAGTAATCAAAATTAACATTCAGAACCAATAATAGATCTATTTTTTCCAGGTAAATTTTTTTCTATTACTTACCTTACTGCATGTGGAGTCACGTGACCCCGCTCGATGATTAAAAGATGCCTTGAGACGACATATTTTACCTCAAAATTATTATGTAAATTAAAACATATGTTTATGGAAGATGCAGAAAATATTATTTACAGGATATGCAAGAGTTATTTTATTTCGAAGAGATACTGCTTATTTTCTACTTTTAATATAAAAAAACAGAAAATTATTTATTTTGTAATAAATCAATAAAATTATCGATCATTAATCATAATTTAGGTAAAAATATTCAATTAATCGAGATTTTTATTTTAGGCCAAATCACCCAGCCCTACAATGTTGTGTTTGGATGCTTGATTTGGATTGGCTGATGAGCATTCTAATGTGTGCTGTTGATTTCAGATAAATTAATCAGCTAAAGTAGTTCAGGCAGGTTTTGAGCGCATTACAGCTCCATATCACTCCGCTGAATAATTAAGTTATTTCACTGCTACAACAATCAAAAATCACATCAAAACAACAGGAGGAGGAGGAGAAACTAGTACTGCACATAGGAGTGGTCTGAGGAGGACAAACACCTGACAGACTCTTAAATAAAACATCTCAATAGTAGAGACCAAAGAAGAATTAATGCACTCCAGGAAGTTTGAATTGGAAAATAATGCACAACTGAGGTGTAACAGCCACTCCGCTTCACATCAGCATCTCACGTAGGGCTGACAGTATATCATTTGAGCATCCATATCACAATATGTGTATCCGCAAAAGTCACATCGCAGGATTAGATCATTTATTAAAGATTGAAAGAGAAAGATATTGAATATTATTAATTATAAATTGTTTATACAATGAGGACCATGTTATTTTATGTTTAATTGTTTAATTTCTGTACTTGAATGCTGTCATACTCTCCAAATAACCATAAAGCAGTGTTTATTTCACTTTTATTTTTGCTTTGTTGCGTTTATGAATGCTTAATTAAAATGTATGCAAACACACTGCACAGATAAATCCCAATCCTAGTCTTTGCAAATAGAGCTGTTAACTTCATCTGGTGAAATTATATTCATATTGTGACATATTTCGCAGAAAAACAAAACATTTCCATGTCAGATTTTTTTAATATTGTGCAGCCCTAACCTCAAGTGTGCACTATTTTCTAATAATTAAACAGTCTGTCAGCAATTCTTCCTAAACAAATATACCTGTAGATATTTGACTATCTTCAAGTTGCTATTTTGCAGAGTGTTTATTTGTTTCCAGAGCAAACTGACCTTGAAGCCTGTGGGACACCAGTCCACAAACTGAATGGTCCTCTTAGTCTTTATGCTTCCGATGGCGGCGTTGACATCCTTGGGCACCACGTCTCCGCGGTACAGCATGCAGCAGGCCATGTACTTCCCATGCCGAGGGTCACACTTCACCATCTGGTTGGCGGGCTCGAAGCAGGCATTGGTGATCTCCACCACAGACAGCTGCTCGTGGTAGGCCTTCTCTGCTGAGATCACCGGCGCGTAGGTGACCAGCGGGAAATGGATGCGCGGATATGGCACCAGGTTGGTCTGGAACTCTGTCAGGTCCACGTTGAGGGCTCCATCAAAGCGCAGGGAGGCAGTGATGGAGGACACGATCTGGCCGATTAGCCGGTTGAGGTTGGTGTATGTGGGCCGCTCGATGTCCAGGTTTCGTCTGCAGATGTCGTAGATGGCCTCGTTGTCCACCATGAAGGCGCAGTCCGAGTGCTCCAGGGTGGTGTGTGTGGTCAGGATGGAGTTGTAGGGTTCGACCACTGCGGTGGAAACCTTAAAACAGATGGAACGGGATATTTTTCAACAATGTCTTGAAATGCCCTGTTTCTATAAGGTAAGGTTTGTCTTTTCATCATAAGTGGTCAGCCGAAACATTTCAGTGTTTTCAACTGCTCATATATATTGAGATATGAATACAGTTTCACCAGATGACTAGAATCTTTATTTGGAAAGAGTTTATAATTGTAGATTGATCGGGTTGTTTCTGTAGAGGAGTGCATCTGTTAAAAATATGAACAATCTACAGGCCTGCACTTACAGTAGGTTTCTGCTGATCAAAGACCCAGCAAGCATTTGCTTTCTTGTTGAATAATTAGTTCTAGTCATTTATACACCATAAAAATTAAGATATGATGCTTCAACATATTCAAGTGAAGGATGACCAATAAAAACACGGTACCTGTGGTGCAGGATATACAGCAAACTCAAGCTTGGCTTTCTTGCCGTAGTCAACAGACAATCTCTCCATTAAAAGAGACGCAAAACCTGAACCGGTTCCACCGCCGAAGCTGTGAAAGATGAGAAATCCCTGCAGTCCAGTGCACTGATCGCACTAAAAAAACAAAAACATGTTATTAAATAATGAAAATGTAATTGCGACAAAAGTAGAATCCCTAAATGGAAGAAAACGTCTTACCAGTTTGCGAACACGGTCAAGTACCAGGTCCACGATTTCTTTGCCAATGGTGTAATGTCCTCTGGCGTAATTGTTGGCGGCGTCCTCCTTGCCAGTGATCAGCTGCTCTGGGTGAAACAGCTGTCTGTATGTTCCAGTTCGAACCTCATCTGAAGGTGAAAGATGAGAGAAAAAAATTTTTTAAATTGCAGTGAAATTTCACTATTTATTTTTGTGATGCATCATTGGGTTTTTTATTATATCTCTAACTATTTTGATGTTGTAATTTTTTTGTTATTTTGCATTTTAAGTTGGAAAAAAAAAATTAAATCGAAAAAAAAAAAAATACAGTTAATATTTTAGACCAATATATATTGACAACAGTGAACATTTAAAGTGGATCAAAACCTTGCATCAAAGTTGTCCTAAAACTATTGAACACATTCTTGTCTTGAAAATTTCAAAAAACTTTTTGATTCACTTCAAATGTTGACTATTGTGTATATATTATTATTATTATAAGAATGTATTGAATGTGCATAGTTGTTATCATCAGCTAAAATGAATAAGATATGTTTGTTGTTGGAATTAATAATAAAATTAAATGCAAATATTCTAAAAAGTTAATGTTTTTAAACAGAAAATATAATAAACAATTTATAAGAAACAAAAATAACCTTAAATGGTCGTTATTTAACATATGAATATCGAAATAATGAATACATTTTTATTAACTTTTTATCATTTGTTTACTAGACAGGCCGAGGTTTTGTTTTTGTATTGGTTTAAATTGTTTTAGTCATTTTGTGATCTTAGAAAATTTAGATTTTGTCTGTGAATGTAATTTTTTAATGAAAACTTGTAGTCATGAAAATGCAAACTGTCAATTAGCGCTAACAATACTTAACAATACTTAAACTGTACTAAAACTGTACCACGAAATAGTGTGACAGTAACAACACTTCTATCGAAAACACAATTACTTCGCATATTGATATTAGCCACCACTCATTTAACACTGTTTTATGTGGGTATAACACTGTTATTGTGACAGCACTATAGTGCATATGCATTCTGACCGACGACAGTGGGCTCCAGGTCCACGAACACCGCTCTTGGAACGTGTTTCCCAGCACCGGTCTCGCTGAAGAAGGTGTTGAAGGACTGGTCTCCGCCGGAGGTGGTGTGGTCGCTCGGCATGTGTCCGTCTGCCTGAATGCCGTGCTCCAGACAGTAGAGCTCCCAGCACGCATTGCCAATCTGAACTCCCGCCTGGCCCACATGAACAGAGATACACTCACGCTGACCGGACACAGCAAAGCGTAAGAACAAACATATTAGTAGTGTTAAAGTGCACATTAAAATAAAATATGCCTACTTTACTACATCCAATCGGCTCACAGTAGAAAAAAACAAGCCACACACTATTTTCTCTTAATATTCCTTTTGTCTAAGAACTGCATCTCAGTATGAAAAGAAAAGGTCACCACTTTCGATTTATGTGGACTTTAAAACAAGTCTTGACGAGGCTTTGGTTCAAGGACTTTTTGAAGCACAATTAATTTTAAATCAAGCACCTTTGTAATTCATATCCCAGCACATGTACCGCCATGAAAGTCCGTAACGTAACTTACTGAACATTTCACTCAATGTGAAAATGTAAAATTTACACTTAATATTTTTCATCGCAATGTGTTCTGGGTGTTAATGTGTTCTGAGGCTAATTCCCATTGAGCTCTATGGATTTTTGTATCATATATACACAGGGTGCTAATTACAGGGGGGGTTTGACCCTCTAAAACAGGGGTGTCAAACTCAATTCCTGGAGGGCCGAAGCCCTGCACAGTTTAGTTCCAACCCTGCTCCAACACACTTACCTATTGGTTTCAAACAAGCCTGAAGGACTCAATTAGTTTGATCAGGTGTGTTTAATTAGGGTTGGAACTAAACTGTGCAGAGCTGCGGCCCTTTTGGAAATGAGTTTGACACCTGTGCTCTAAAATAACACTTGATTCCCCCTGAAGGATGTCAAAACAAGATGTATGGGGGTCAGCCCTTAAATACTGAGAAATAGTTTACTCAGATGTGTTTTTGAATAATACAGTTAATAATTAAAATAATAGATAATATAAATATGACCACCCCTATAACGGTTCATACCATTGTGAATGCAAAGTCACGTCAATCAGTGTAAGTTATGCCAGAAAAAGATCATTCAACAGTCTGAAACTGGCAGATATAGAAGGCTGATAGACATCGGAAATATTCACAATACTTTTTTTAAATATGAAAAAGGTGTTTATATCTACATATAGCCTGAAAGTAACGTCAAATTAGATGGAATTTGTATAGTTTGACCTACAGAAACAGCTGAAAGAGCTCATGATGATACTGTAGGTCAAAATACAATAAATATCCCTCCAAAAACAAAAGAAAAATTGAAATATGTTGTATTAATAAACAAGATCAAATTAACAATACATAAATAAATGACTGAAGCATGTATTACACTAACTAATGTAAAGTTGACCCGTCTGATCGTCGCTGTATAATTCGGACACCGTGTATACTCTTATCAGTTATAAACTGTAAGTGCTCGTGCTACAGGTAAGTTAATAAAGAAAATAGTCTATGGAGATGTTTTCTTGCGGCAGCTCCTTGTTGACCTGTCAGTTACGATTAAAATCGTTTATTAGATCCGCTCCGGATACGCCCCTTCTGCGCGCTCTCATACTCGGCATCTCCACTTACACTTCACCGCTGCAGACATAATGTTATGGAATGCATATTATCAGCTACTCAGACAAAGAGACGGTTATAAAGGTATATACACGTCAGTCCATTTTCCTCCGAGAGTTTGAGAGGTGCTTTTCGAAAGATATCACAATAAAATTGTCGTTTTTTCTGTGGTCGACCGCAACGTAGATTCCCGAGCTCTATTCGAGCATTTTCAAGGACCTGTGTTTGTTTTTTAAGTACTTTCCAGGCGGCAACGCGTCAAAATATGTACGAAAACAAATGAATAAAGCGTACAAATATACGTTACAACTCTGAAGAGAAAGTTGACCGTTGGTCGCTTGAGTTACGTTAACGGCTCCGCGGGTGTAATTCGGATAACATATAAAGACTGCTTTACTTACCATTTTTACTGGATTATATTAAAGGTGATTAAAGTAGATTTGGTAATCTTGTTTATGATATAAAGCTATTTTTAATATTAAAGTATTTCTTCACGTAAGTGTATGTCCCAACGTCCTCCGATTATGCTGTTTGAAATAACGTTGACTGATTTTATATGTCTGTGTACTCTGGCCCCGCCTACCCTCTCGGCTATTGGCTGAGTTTTGAATCTTCAATTATAATATAACGTCAATCACTTTGTAGGCGCATTGTTATTGGTCCACGCATCAAATCAAATTCAAATAATTAATAAAGCGGGAATATTAAAATTTTATTGCATTACTAGATTGTCATTTATTGCATTACTAGATAAATTATTATGGATTTGTATGTATTGCTTAGTAATTCTGTATCTTTAAATTAATTTCTTATCTATGCGTATGCGGTGTGTGCGCGCGCGCGTCTTTGTGAGTGAGTGTGCATTTGTGTGTGTGTGTGTGTGTGTGTGCGCGCGTGTGTATAAATATGAGGTTCATGAACTCAGCTCTGATTTATTCTGCAAAAATGAGCGGTCGGGTCGGAGATCTCAGTCCTAAACAAGCAGAGGCTTTAACACAGGCAAGTACATGCAGAATTTTGCTTACATTTATTAAATAACTTACACTACCTTTCAAAATTTGAGGTGATTTATTATTATTTTTTATTTAAAGAAATTAATACGTTCTTAAATTCAGTAAAGATGCACTGAATTTATCAAAAATTATATTTATAACTGTACAAACGCTTTTATTTCAAATAAACGCTTTACTTATGAACTTCCTAATCATCTATGAATCTTAAAACAATTAATATATCATAATAATCATAGCAAAATATTCATAAATGTCTCTTAATTTATATATAATCATATTAGAGTGATTTCTGAAAGATCGGGTGACACTGAAGACTAATATAATGATTCTTATATCACAGAAGTTAATTACACTTCATCTATTTACATAGAAATTGGTCACCCTGAATTAAAATGTTTTTCTTAATTAAAGCATTTTTTTACTGCATTTGGTATCCAATAAATGCATATTGTGTTGGCCAAAACACTGAAATATCCTCTCTTTGGTCAGTTTCGGGAGAAATTAGAAGATGTTTGGGATCAACTGTCCAATCAAACTGATCATTACCTGCTCCGGTGGCTCAGAGGTGAGAATTTTGCTGCACAAATATAAACTTTTCTGCTGTTTTTAGTAAAAAGTGTTTAATAATGTAGTGTAGATCTCTGACTGATGAACTTTTGACCCCATGAACCTGATTAACAGGCTGACAATACAAAAAGAAAGCAATTTTGAGTTTTTCCTCATATTTCTATGGTTTTTCTGCAGCATTGGCTTTATCTAAACCACGTTTATCTAGAAATCAATGCGGTGTGTTGAGACAGAACATCCCAAAACCATGTGTTGACTTTACTTTTAGAAAAGGAAAGTTCAAGGTGACTTTCTTGTGAATGTATGCGTCAATATTTATCTGTTTTTAACCTTTGCAGAAATATTTGCTCTCTCCCTTTGCACTACATTATTATATAAGATCCCAAAGTCCTTGTGTGCATGAAGAGGGTTATTGGAGAATCTATAATGTGTTTTATTTCAATATTTAATTGTCTATTTATTTATTTTGGCAGCTAGAACGTTCAATGTCCCGAAGGCTGAAGCAATGCTTAGGAAGGTAATAACACATTATTATTATTGTTATTATTATTACTATTATTATTATTATTATTATCTTATTTTGTTGTTGTCGACTTTTTTTATAATTAAATGTAAAATTCACTTTTCCCTTAAAATAAAAAAGTTTTAAAAACATTCTTATCATAAATGTGCTTTTTTTTACTTTCTTTTTATAATAAAATTAAATAAAAAAAATATTTATAAAAGTTTCCACAAAACTATGCAACAGTGCAGATGTTTTCAACATTAATAATTAATCACTTTATTAGGTACACCTGTCCGACTGCTCGATATTGCAAATTTCTAATCAGCCAATCACATGGCGGCAGCTCAATGCATTTAGGCATGTAGACATGGTCAAGACGATCTGCTGCAGTTCACACCAAGCATCAGAATGGGGAAGAAAGAGGATTTAAGAGACTTTGATCGTGGCATGGTTGTTGCTGCCAGACGGGCTGCTCTGAGTATTTCAGAAACTGCTGATCTACTGGGATTTTCACGCACAACCATCTCTAGGGTTTACAGAGAATGCTCCGACTAAGAGGAAATATCCAGTGAGCGGCAGTTCTGTGGGTGCAAATGCCTTGTTGATGCCAGAGGTCAGAGGAGAATGGCCAGACTGGTTCCAGTGGATAAAAAGGCAACAGTAACTTAAATAAGCAACCGAGGTCTGCAGAAGAGCATCTCTGAACACACAACACGTCCAACCTTGAGGCGGATGGGCTACAGCAGCAGAAGAGCACACCGGGTGCCGCTCCTGTCAGCTAAGAACAGGAAACTGAGGCTACAATTCACACAGACTCACCAAAACTGGACAATAGAAGATTGGAGAAACGTTGCTGCTCTGATGAGTCTCCATTTCTGCTGACACATTCACATGCTCGGCTCACAATTTGGCCTCAACAACATGAAAGCATGGATCATCCTGCCTTGTATCAGCGGTTCAGGCTGGTGGTGGTGGTGTAATGGTGTCGTGGCATGGTTGTTGCTGCCAGACGGGCTGCTCTGAGTATTTCAGAAACTGCTGATCTACTGGGATTTTCACGCACAACCATCTCTAGGGTTTACAGAGAATGCTCCGACTAAGAGGAAATATCCAGTGAGCGGCAGTTCTGTGGGTGCAAATGCCTTGTTGATGCCAGAGGTCAGAGGAGAATGGCCAGACTGGTTCCAGTGGATAAAAAGGCAACAGTAACTTAAATAAGCAACCGAGGTCTGCAGAAGAGCATCTCTGAACACACAACACGTCCAACCTTGAGGCGGATGGGCTACAGCAGCAGAAGAGCACACCGGGTGCCGCTCCTGTCAGCTAAGAACAGGAAACTGAGGCTACAATTCACACAGACTCACCAAAACTGGACAATAGAAGATTGGAGAAACGTTGCTGCTCTGATGAGTCTCCATTTCTGCTGACACATTCACATGCTCGGCTCACAATTTGGCCTCAACAACATGAAAGCATGGATCATCCTGCCTTGTATCAGCGGTTCAGGCTGGTGGTGGTGGTGTAATGGTGTGGGGGAGATTTTCTTTGGGTCCATTAGTACCAATTGAGCATCAACGCCACAGCCTACCTGAGTATTGCTGCTGACCATGTCCATCCCTTTATGAGCACAGTGTCTCCATCTTCTGATGGCTACTTCCAGCAGGATAACGCAGCATGTCATAAAGCTCAATCATCTCAGACTGGTTTCTTGAACATGACGATGAGTTCACTGTACTCAAATGGCCTCCACAGTCACCAGAGCTCAATCCAATAGAGCAGCTTTGGGATGTGGTGGAACGGAAGATTGGCATCATGGAGCCGACAAATCTGCAGCAACTGTGTGATGCTATCATGACAATATGGAGCAAAATCTCTGAGGAATATTTCCAGTAGCTTGTTGAATCTCTGCCATGAAGGATTAAAGCAGTTCTGAAGGTAAAAGGGGTCCAACCCGGTACTAGTAAGGTATACCTAATAAAGTGGCCAGTGAGTGTATAAGCAGGACATTTTTATAACATCTGATAAAATCCCTTTTAAAAAAGAAATATATAAATTCCTATATTTGTATTCCAGCATCTGGAGTTTCGCAGGCACATGAAATTAGAAACAATCATTGACGACTGGAGTCCACCAGAGGTAACTCATACAATATTAATAAATAATTAAAGATGACTACAAATATTCAATATTATTATTCATTATGAAAACTGCCATCACGACTGTTCTCAGGTCCTGGAGCGCTATGTGGCCGGAGGAATGTGTGGTTATGATCGTGAAGGAAGCCCCATCTGGTTTGATATTATCGGCCCTCTGGATCCTAAAGGCCTTTTACTGTCGGCGAGTAAACAAGACTGTCTGAGGACCAAAATCAGAGACGCTGAGCTGCTGCGGCGCGAGTGTGAGAAACAGTCCAAAAAGGTACAAACATCTAAACATTTTTAACCCACAGAATGCATCTAAAATCAGTATACTGCAGGTCTGCTGAATGCTTGATTCTGATTGGCTGATGAGCATTCTGAGGTGTGCCACTCTTGTCAGATAAATCCACAGATAAAGTAGTTCCGGCAGGTTTTGAGCACATTACAATTCCACATAACCCTTGTTTTTAGTAGTTTTAAAAAATTCTTGTCGGTTGAGTTCTTGATTCTGATTGGCTGATGAACATTTTAAGATGTTCTGTTGTTGTCAGATAAACACACTGATAAAGTAGTGCCGGCAGGTTAATGATTGCATCACTGTTCCACATAATCATCTCAGTTCCACTTAACACTTGTTATTTTTATTCATTTGTTTTTAAAAATGTAATTGAATGAAACACAAAATAACCAGAAGTTCCGGCAGGATTTCAGCACATTACTATTAAACATAACACATTTTATTATTTTTCAAAGATTATTTAAATGAATGAAACACAAAATAACCAGAAAAACAACCCATACAAAATCACTAATTATTAACATTTATATGTATGTTGAATGCTTTATTCTGATTGGCTGATGAGTATTCTAAAGCGTGCCATTATTATAAAATAAATGCACAGATAGAAGTCGTTCTGGCAGATTTTGAGGACATTACAGCTCCATATAATTATCACAGTTCCACATAACATTTGTTTTTATTAGTTTTTAAAAGATAATTAATTGAATGAAGTTGGACTAAATAACAATTTGTAAAAAAGTATTACATCTATACTACAGATCTGTCGAATGTTTGATTCTGATTGGCTCATAAGCATTCTAAGGTGTGCCATTAAAATAAATGCACAGATAAAGTAGTTCCGGCAGGTTTTGATCACATTAAAATTCCATATAATTTTCTGGACGCTGATTGTTAATTGGAAAAGGTAGCTGCTGCTTTTAGTACTATTAACGTTGTTTAATCATTTTTTAAGTGTGTGGTATTTTGTTGTAAATCTATTATGCTGTAGAACAAGTCACCCGAATAGGGAACAAGTAAATTTACAATAACAGTAGTATAACGCTTGTTTTTATTAGTTTTTAAAAGTTATTTAATTGAATGAAGCACAAAATAACCAGAAAAACAATTCTGGTGTAAAAAATATTGATCATTAACATATATATACCACAGTTTTTTTGAATGCTTGATTCAAATTGGCTTATGAGCACTCTAAAGTGTGCCATTATTGTCATATAAATGCACAGATAAAGTAGTTTCAGCAGGTTTTTAACACACTACCTCGATTTTCACAAAACACTTTTTATTATTATTATTTTTATTAATTTTAAATAATGAATTTAATGAAACGCAAAACAATAAGACAAACAATTCGGGTGCAAAAAGTATTAATTATAATATTTATACTACAGGTTTATTACATGCTTGATTCTGATCGGCTGATGAAGGTTCATTCCAATGTGTGCTGTTATTATCATATAAATGCACAGATGAAGTAGTTCCGGCAGGTTTTGAGTGATAAACAGTTGCATATCATTATCATAGTTCCACGTAACACTTCTAATATATATATATATATATATATATATTTTTTTTTTTTAAATGGAATTGAACGAAAAACAAAATAGCCATAAAAACTTTTCTACAGCAAAAACATGAATTATTAACATTTATACTACATGTCTGCTAAATGCTTGATTCTGATTGGCTGATAAGCATTCTGAGGTGTGCCGTTATATTGAGGTAAATGTGTTTTTGTGTGTTCTTATTGATCAGCTGGGCAAACACATTGAATCGATCACCATCATTTATGACTGTGAGGGCCTCGGCATGAAGCATCTCTGGAAACCTGCAGTGGAGATGTACGGAGAGGTGAGATTAACCTGAAATCAACAGCAGATATCTGTTTAAAGAACATCTGCTGATCAGCATAGCATAACTAAGTTTAAAAACGCATAGAAATACATACATCAGCCCATATTTTAATCTATTTCTTAGTGAATATAGACAATATTTTGGTGCATTTACACAAAGCAGACTTATTAAACAGATAATTCCATTAAAATAAAATGCATTTTGTCATTCTTCTGCAATTGAAATATTTTGAGGCATCATGATGTATATCGTTATCAATATTATATTACAATATATTAACAATAATATAATGTTATCAAGATTTTAGATACATAATAATTAATAACCGTTTATTTTCTGTGTTTTTAACTCTCAATCAGAACGCTCCGACTGAAGGGGCGTTGCTAATTGTAGACTCATAAGTCAACACCAACTGCTTTGATTGGCTGACAGTTTTGCATATTAACAGTTCTAAACAGGCAGTGCATTAGAAGTGGGTGTCAATCTTCTATGGAGGCGGAGCTTATCCACCTTATTACATCATAGAGCAAAACATGCTACAAGCTACCTTCAATATATAACCTGATTTTATTGGTGTTTTGACTCTCAAAGTGTTGAGCTCTGAAACTCAAAAGTTGTCTATGCACTTCTATGAGCTCTTATATGTTAAAGGTTGATTTTGCTTTTCTTATTGATGACTCCTTTTAAAATGCATTTATTTGACCAACATGCAAATTAAAAGTCCATATATATTATATTTCTGTATTGTTTCTTGCAAATGAGTGGAATTTGTTTTTAAACGTACTCTGTTGAATGTGATATTTATTTAATTGATGAGAAACATGCATCAGAATTGATATGATTGAGATATAACTTGAAAATGTTGTGTTTATTGGCTGTTAATTGATGTCATAAGCTTTTCTTTGTTTCCACGTCACTTGTTGATGACAGATTCTGACCATGTATGAAGAGAATTATCCAGAAAGCCTAAAAAAGGTGCTTTTAATAAAAGGTGAGTAATTGTTTAATTATATATACAGTTGAAGTCAGAATTATTAGCCCCTTTTGAATTTTTCATTTTAAATATTTCCCAAATGATGTTGATCAGAGCAAGGAAATGTTCACAGTATGTCTGATAATATTTGTTCTTCTGGAGAAAGTCTTATTTGATTTATTTCGGCTAGAATAAAAGCATTTATTAATTTTTTAAACACCATTTTAAGGTCAATATTATTAACCCCCTTAAGCTTTTTTTTAATAGTCACAGAACAAACCATCATTATACAATAACTTGCCTAATTACCCTAACCTGCCTAGTTACCCTAATTACCCTAGTGAAGCCTTTAAATGTCACTTTAAGCTGTATAGAAGTGTCTTGAAGAATATCCAGTCTAATATTATTTACTGTCATCATGACAAAGATAAAATAAATCAGTTATTAGAGAACAGAAACAGAAATTGGGGAAAAAATTAACAGAAAAAATTATATATATAAATATATATATATATATATATATATATATATATATATATATATATATATATATATATATATATTTATACAACAGTTCTGTCTGGTTCTCCAATCTGATTGGCTGATAGCCATGATATATTTAAGTAATATCAGCACCCGTATAGCCTCTTTACCCTTTGTGTATTACTCCGCCCACATACAGCCAGCAGAAAGCAGACACTACAGATCTACAGTGTAAAAGATGCTTGCTCAGCTGTTTAACTGTCAGCTTATGATTTGAATCCAACGCGGAAGAAAGTAGTTCCTCATACAAAAGGGTTTTTGAGACTCTCCATGTTTAATTTTGTTTTTTATATACACAATTATGCCATCAAACTGTTGTATAAACGCAACATCACACGAGTAGCAGCGCGATATGGCTGTATATTGGCACTGGTAGGGGCACTAAGGCCTCCCACCAGTGCCATACAGCCATATCGCACTGCTACTCATGCAATATTGCTCATATATATATATATATGTAAATAAAATTGTTGTGTTACCATAGCAACTATAGTCCCCTGCTGAAAAATCCAGCTTAAACCAGCCTAGGCTGGTTGGGTGGTTTTAGCTGGTCGACCAGCCTGGAAGTGGCCAAAACCACAATAAAATGGTTCAAACACACTACAGTGTTTCCTATAAGTTCTATTTGTTGTCATCATATTTTGTTTTGTGTATATTAGTAATCTTATTTGATTTTCATATACTTTATTGCTTCAAATGAAAGTGTGTACTGTTGTGATTCTCCTCATAGCTGCTTGGTTTTGTATTAATGGCTAATGAAGCAAAAATAGAGGAAACACTGCAAATAAAATGACCAGCTCTAATTGACTTTATTCTTTAATAAACACACATTTAAACCTTTTAATGTTTTAAATCTTCTCTCTGCAGCTCCTAAACTCTTCCCTATTGCATACAATTTGGTGAAGCACTTCTTGCGTGAAGAAACGAGGCAGAAAATCGCTGTTCTGGGCTGTGAGTTGTCTAATTAGTGCCGTGTGTTAATGCAAACCCCATGTGATTATGTTTGACTGCAGTAGTTGCTAGAAGGGATACAGCTGAGCCAGAATTTCATTCATTCATTCATTTTCTATTCGGCTTAGTCCCTTTATTAATCCGGGGTCGCCACAGCGGAATGAACCGCCAACTTATTCAGCAAGTTTTTACGCAGCGGATGCCCTTCCAGCCGCAACCCATCTCTGGGAAACTTCCACACACACCCATTCACACATACTCTCATACACTACGGACAATTTAGCCTACCCAATTCACCTGCAGCATGTGTTTGGACTGTGGGGGAAACCGGAGCACCCGGAGGAAACCCACGCGAACGCAGGGAGAACATGCAAACTCCACACAGAAACGCCAACTGAGCCGAGGCTCGAATCAGCTACACAGCGACCTTCTTGCTGTGAGGCGACAGCACTACCCACTGCGCCACTGCCTCGCCTGTAAAAACAGTCAATGTTGACGTAATATAAATAATTCTGGATAACCTCTGGCCACAGCTGTATCCCTTTATTTTCTCCTGTGATCTCCAACTTACAGCAAACTGGAAAGATGTGTTGAAGAATTACGTGGACGCCGATCAGATCCCTGCGGCCTACGGAGGATCTCTGACTGATCCTGATGGAAACCCGCTCTGTACGACCATGGTGAGATTCACACAAGCGATTAATCTACCACTGTAAACAATTGATTGATTGATTGATTGAGTTTTTCCCATTGTCTTTGATGATATCGTGACTGAAGCGCAACAGAGAAGTGAAGTAACGTCAATATACAGTGTCTTTAACACTCGTCTGCTGTTGTCCCCACAGTTACGCTATGGTGGTGTAGTGCCCAAATCATACTATGTTCGAGACTCGATCAAAGTCCAGTATGAGCAGAACATCACCATCAGCCGCGGATCCGCACACCAGATAGAGTACGAGCTGCTCTTCCCGAACTGCCTGCTGCGGTGAGCACCACAGACACTCTTCATGTGCTATAAGTTCCATGTAGTCTCTGTCTTAAGCTAATTCCTAATTCTGCCTGGCTTCGAATTGTGAAAACTGTGAATGCTTTTATACTTAACGCGTCTGCCATTGTACTATTTATTTGTAGCAACATTGCTGGAAACCTGTAACCATTGACTTCCACAGTGTTTGTTTTTCCTACTATAATAATCAATGGTTACAGTTTTACAGCTTACTTTCTTTTTTTCTGACTTCTTTTTGCTCTGACTGAACCAGAGTGTTTTAGTGTTGCTAGTGGAGTCAGAAAAAACACAAAATAAGATATTTTGAGGGATGTCAGAAACCTGTAACCATTGACTTCCACGGTGTTTGTTTTTCCTACAACAGAAATCAGTGGTTACAGGTTTCCAGCTTACTTTCTTTTTTTCGGACTTCTTTTTGTTCTGACTGCACCAGAGTGTTTAAGTGTTGCTAGTGGAGTCAGAAAAAATACAAAAGAAGATATTTTGAAAAATGTTGCAAACCTGTAACCATTGACTTTCTCAGTATTTGTTTTTCCTACAATGGAAGTCAATAGTTACCGTTTTCTAGCCTTCTTTCTTTTTTTCTGATTGCAATCAAGTGTTTTAGTGTTGCTGGTGCAGCCAGAAAAGAAATTATTTTGAAGCATGTTGGAAACCTGTAACCATTGACTTCCACAGTATTTGTTTTTCCTACAATGGAAGTCAGAAGTTACCGTATTCCAGCTTTCTTTCTTTCTTTTTTCAGACTTCTTTTGTTCTGACTGCACCAGAGTGTTTTTAGTGGTACTGGTGCAGCCAGAAAAAAATTCAAAATAAGATATTTTGAAGAATGTTGGAAACCTGTAACCATTGACTTCTACGGTGTTTGTTTTTCCTACAATAAAAGTCAATGGTTACAGGTTTTTAACTTTCTTTCTTTCTTTTTTCAGACTTCTTTTGTTCTGATTGCACCAGAGTGTTTTTAGTGGTACTGGTGCAGCCAAAAAAAAATACAAAAGAAGATATTTTGAAGAATGTTGGAAACCTGTAACCATTGACTTTCACAGTATTTGTTTTCCTACTCCATTAATCAACGGTTACAGTTTTCCAGCCTTCTTTCGTTTTTGTTCTGACTGCACCAGAGTGTTTTAGTGTTGCTAGTGCAGTCAGAAAAAACATAAAAGAAGATATTTTGAAGAATGTTGAAAACCTGTAACCATTGACTTCTACAGTGTTTGTTTTTCCTACAATAAAAGTCAATGGTTACAGGTTTCTAGCTTTCTTTCTTTCCTTTTTAGGACTTCTTTTGTTCTGACTGCACCAGAGTGTTTTTAGTGGTACTGGTGGAGTCAGAAAAAAACACAAAAGAAGATATTTTGAAGCATGTTGGAAACCTGTAACCATTGACTTTCACAGTATTTGTTTTTCCCTCTAAAGAGGTAAATGGTTACAGGATTCCAGCATTCTTGATAATATCACCTTTTGTGTTCGGCAGAATAGAAAACTCAGAGGTGTAGAAGCACTGGAGATGAGTAGAAGATGAGCGAATGTTCATGTTTGAGTGAACTGTCTCTTCAAGAATCTTTTCTTGGACTGTTTTGTCCTCCAGATTCATGCACTTCATCTGTGTTTTCCTCCTTGTAGATGGCAGTTTGCGAGCGAGGGCTCTGATATCGGTTTTGGACTTTTCCTGAAGACAAAAGGCAGCGAGACGAAGAAAGTGGAGGACATGCAAGAAATCCTGCGAAATGAGCGCTATAATGCACATCTGGTTCCTGAGGAAGGATCCTACACCTGCGAGGAGCCCGGCATCTGTACGTCAGCTCTCAGTGCGCAGAGCATCATGGGAAATAACACTGAATTTACTCTAAATTTGGCTTGCATGCAGACATATACTAACATTCAACAAGTAAGGGGAGGTTGTTATCTCAGAATAAAGTCCAGCAGGTTTATCAGCAGTTCACATTAGCTGCATTATTGTTATTGTTGCATTAATAATCACATTATGGGATGTTGATCTCTGCTCTACAGTTTAACAAAGTGACTTTTGTTAACATTCTAGGGGTTTGAATACACAATATAATGTTTTAGAAATAATATCTAGAGAAATAAGTCTGTAAAACAGGGTTTCTGCAGGGTCTTAAAAGGTCTTAAATCCCAAAATCAAAATTTTAAGCCCTAAAAAGTCTTAAATTTACTGAAATATTGTGTTGTAGGTCCTAAATCTTTTTTAAACGGGTCTTGTTCATGTATTGCTGCCCAATCTACCCAAAACCCATACAGCAACAATCCATCTCAACCAAACTTTTCACCTCTATTTATAATAATGGTTTAATTATTTTCCATACAGTAAGATTTGTTTAAAAGTGCTCCATGCATTTACTGCTGAGGACAGATTGATGTGCACAGATTCAGTTTATTATAGTTTTTAAAACATTTCTTCATTTTATTTTATTTTAAAGAAAGTTTATGTTGGAAAAAAGTGCATGGATATAAGTAGAGCTTATTTAAAATAGCAATATTTTAAATAATTTGCTAAGAAATATCTAAAATATTTGTAAAAAAAATTATTATTAATGTAATATATTATTAAATATCAATAAAAAATTACTTATAATATATTTTTTTAAGGGCAAATAAAAATATTTTGCATCTGGGCCATTTGAAAAACTCCTTAGCCCTTTATGAGTCTAAAATTTCATTCATAATAGTCTTAAAAATGTCTTTAAAAGTCTTAAATTTAACTTGCTGAAACCTGCAGAAATGCTGGTAAAATAACAGAAAACGTGCTGCAGTTTATTTCAAGGTTTCTGTAGTGTAATAAACAACACCAACACACACAATACAGCCAGGGGCGCAACTACACATATACTGAGAGGTATGCGGGTTCAAGTTTTGTAACTAAAATAAAATAGTTTTGAACAAAAAAAGTTACCAAAAGGCCTGATGTATCAATATGACACATAATAAATTTATAAAAACATGTATATTGTATAAAATGGATTTTGATAGAAGGATTAAAAACATTTCAGTTCCAAAAAATGTGAATATTCGGACAATTTGTTCATGTGTCAACTTTAACAGGGTTAAGAATCATTATAATCAAGTATATAATATTTATATAGGTGAATTTTTAATCCAAATATTTTATCTGAAATATCGGTTTGTGAAATAGGTCTGTACTTACATAAACATACATTTTGTGTGATCCCTCTTATTTAGGCAAAATAATTAAATAATTAATAATAAATAAAGAGAAAATTCAGATTAATCTTATAACTTTTGACCTCAACTGTACTGTATGTATAATTTGACAGTTTTATTTTGATAAAAATTGTAAAAAAAAAATCTAAAGTTACATTTACATGAACACTTTACACTTGGCTCTGCGACTGCATGTTATAGTGTCGATTTTGAATTAAAATGTGTGTGCCAGCGTATGCAACTCATGATATAATTTTTTATTTATTAAAATACAATATTATACTCATACAAAATGCAAAAAAAAAACATTTTTAACAAAACATATTTATTTATTTATTTTTTTATTTGAAACTTTTAATAAGGATAATTTCAAAAATAGTTTTGGCACAATGGCGCCCCCCATGTGTGGCGCCTTTATGCGCCGCATATACTGCATACCCCATTTTTGCGCCACTGAATACAGCACTGCACACCATTACACACGCTCATAAACGTCACTTTTACAATGTTTCAAGGTTAAAAGTTGTTGCAAGAAAGATCAAGATCCCATAAAGCAATTCAGAAGCAGAAATAAACTGGAAAAGATAAAATTATGAATGCAAAAATATGAAAAATTGCTAATTTACAGATATTTTTTTTTACATTGGATCATATTTTGCAAGTGTGTTTAATAACTGTTCCTGTTTTTGTGCAGATGTGGTCCGCTTTGACAACAGCTACAGTGTGCTTCATTCAAAGAAGGTCAGCTTTACTGTGGATGTGCTCCTACCTGAAGGAAAACAGCCTTGACGTTCATTATATCAGACTATTTGTGTCTTAACAACAGAATCAACAGATAAAGCTCTTAGGAAGTCTCTGTGAAGTTCACTTAGGTTATAAAAACAACAAACATTTCTGAACGTTCCAACAGATAGTTTTTTTAAATGTTGTAATTCTGAAAAATACATCAGATTTGGAGATGTAAACGATTTTTTAATTTTAGAATTCTTTTTTTCCCCTCAAACTGTGAAAAAAGACATCAGAATTTGAAGATGTTAAATAGCCAGAATTATTATCTTTCCTCAAAATCATCATTTCTGAACATTAAAATTGTACATTTTTAAATTGTGATTCTGGGAAAAACATCAAAATTTCAGTTATGTAAATAGTAAAAATGACTTTCAATTTTGCTGGTCACTGGTTCGAGTCCCCGCTGGGTCAGTTGGTGTTTCTGTGTGGAGTTTGCATGTTCTCCACGTGTTGGCGTGGGTTTCCTCCGGGTGCTCTGGTTTCCTCCACAGTCCAAACACATGCGCTATAGGGGACTTGAATAAGCTAAACTGGCCGTAGTGTATGAGTGTGTGTGTGTGAATGCAAGAGTGTATGGGTGTTTCCCAGTGTTGGGTTGCAGCTGGAAGGGCATCCGCTGTGTAGAACATGTGCTGGATAAGTTGGCGGTTCATTCCGCTGTGGCAACCCCAGATTAATAAAGGGACTAAGCTGAAAAGAAACTGAATGAATGAATGAACCTTAGAATTTAGGGATTTAAAAAAACTGCATAATTTGCAAATGTAAAATATCCAGAACTATTATCATTTTTATCACATTTATCTCATTTGGACTTTTCCTGAAGACAAAAGGCTGCCTCAAATTATGAAAGAAAAAAAATCTGGCTTTTTCCCCCAGATTGCAGGAAATATGTATAGCATTTTTGATTGTGATTCTGATTTAACAAAAAACATATTAGAATATTTTTTTAATCCCAGAATAATCCCCAAAAAATCTGACTTTGCTTTTTTTCTCAGTTAAGAGAAAAATCTGAATCCTGAGAATAAATAGCCAAGATATTACACACATCATATTAGGTAAGATAATGGGTAAATACTTTAATAATAAGATTGCTGATATAATAGGGAGTCATTGTAATGTGTCAGACATTGTAATGGTTAGTTAGGGATCTCTTGTATAATCTTAAATAAATGTGTAAATGTGCATGGAATTGAGAATAAAGCAGCTGTAAAGGGACAGTGTTGAAGAGTTGATGTGCTTATAACACTAGAGGACGCACACGCATCATGTTTCATCATTCATCTGAAAACATGCACTGATTGTCAATAAATCACTCCGCAAACAACAGAACAGAATTATTTATATATCACATGCCAAATCACTTTCATTACTGTTATTTCACATGTTTGTATCTATTGCACTGTTTTAATTTACTCTGTTTATTTATTTATTTATTTATATATATATATATATTTATTTATTTATTTATTTATTTATTTATTTATTTATACAACAGTTCTGTCTGGTTCTCCAATCTGATTGGCTGATAGCCATGATATATTTAAGTAATATCGGCACCCGTACAGCCTCTTTACCCTTTGTGTATTACTCCGCCCACATACAGCCAGCAGAGAGCAGACACTACAGATCTAAAGTGTAAAAGATGCTTGCTCAGCTGTTTAACTGGCCGCTTATGATTTGAATCCAACGTGGAAGAAAGTAGTTCCTCATACAAAAGGGTTTTTGAGACTCTCCATGTTTGATTTTGTTTTTATATACACAATTATGCTGTCAAACTGTTGTATAAACGCAACATCACACGAGTAGCAGCGAGATATGGCTGTGTATTGGCACTGGTGGGGGCACTACTTAGCCTGCGGCCTTGTGCCAACACACGCCTCCCACCAGTGCCGATATACAGCCATATCACACTGCTACTAGTGTGAAGTTGCTCATGTATATATATATATAACTGACTACACCAATTTTAAAGTGTGTGTGTGTGTGTGTGTGTATATATATATTATTTATTTATTAATTTTTAATTAAGACATTTAAAGTGCCAGTTTAAAACAAACAAATTATTATTATTATTATTATTATTATTATTATTATTATTATTATTATTATATAATTTATAAATTGATGTAAAGTAGTATTCCATCTAGACTTTGCAAAGTAAAGCTTAATTTTTGTGATACTGTACAACAGTAATTCATATGTTTGCAATACTGTGAGGGGTAGGGCAGGGGTAGATGTTAACGGAATACAATTAAATGTGTGATTTATTAAATAATATAAATAATTATTACTGTTTTTACATTGCTGTGAGGGTTTGGGCAAACAAAGTACAATTTAGTGAGTAATTTAATTAATAATATGAACAATACTCTGTTATAGTTACAGTTTTTACATTACTGTAATGGCTAGGGTAAGGGTAGGGTTAGTGACCTCAATAAAATACAATGTAATAATAAATAATACGAATAATACTCGATATAATGATGCTTTTACATTAGCCTACTGTGATGGTTGGGTTTAGGTTTGGGGTAGACAATAATAAAATGCAATTGAATGTGTAATTTGATTAATAATATGAATAATATTTGGTTATAATCACTGTTTTTACATGTGAGGGTAGCGGTTGACGTTAATAAAATGTCATTTATTGTTTAATTTGATTCATAATATGAACAATACTCTGCTGTAAGTACTGTTTTTACATTGATGCAATGGTTAGGATAAGGGTAGACTTTAATAAAATACAATTTAATGGGTACTTTATTAAATAATACATTTTGTTTTTACCTTACTGTGGGGGTAGACGTTAATAAAATACAATTTATTATGTAATTTGGTTAATATTATGAATAAAACTCGATTATAATTACTGCTTTTACATCACTGTGAGTGTTGGGTTAGAGCAAGACGTTAATAAAATACCATTTAATGAGTAACTTAATTAAATCTCGTTACCTTTCGGACGCAGCTGTATCCCTTTTAGCAACCAAACAACCAAAATAGATGGGCGTTGCGCAATTTCGCATTATGCAAATGAGGGGGCGGGGGTCCCCGCTGACGTGACGTCAAGTCCAGCCTCGCCGGAGAGAGCGCAACAAACATGGCGACAGAGCGCGGCGGACACGGCTGTCTGTTAACTTTCATCGTGGTCCTCTGGAGCTCTGTCAGCGGCCACACGGACTCCTCAAGCCCCGCTCACAGCTGTCAGATCCTGGGCATGCGGCTGGAGAGAAGCGACAAGCCGGCCAGCACCACGGAGGACGGGCTCATTCAGCTGACGGAGGAAAGCCGCGTCCTGATGCGCTTTTACGGGGTGCACCTGAGCCCCGACGCGGCGTCCAGCATCAGGTTCACGGAGTACACAGAGGACACAGAGACGCAGAATAACACCTGCGAAGACTTCACCAAAGACCTGAGCATCAGCACATTCATGAACGTGTCCAACAGGGGAAGCTCAGGACTGGTCAGTGTGTCCGTGAAGCCTCTGCGTAAAACGGAGAAGCAGAAGACCTACAGCCTGTGCGTCAAATCCGGAGACAGGTGGGTTTACCTGGGCGATAAAGACGGGAGACTGGTGGTTGTGGAGGAGAAGGAGTCTCTCTTGCCTTTGTGGATGCTGATTATTTTAGTGACAGGTCTTCTGGTGCTGTCCGGGATGTTCAGCGGGCTCAATCTGGGACTCATGGCTCTGGATCCCATGGAGCTCCGCATAGTGCAGAGCTGTGGGACTAGTAAAGAGAAGAAGTACGCTAAGAAGATCGAACCCATTCGGAGTAAGGGTAACTATCTGCTTTGCTCTCTGCTCTTGGGGAATGTCTTGGTGAACACCACTCTGACCATCCTCCTGGATGATCTGATCGGGTCTGGGTTGGGCGCAGTGGTGGCATCCACTGTTGGCATTGTGATATTCGGGGAAATAGTCCCACAGGCGCTCTGTTCACGCCATGGTCTGGCTGTAGGCGCCAACACCATCATACTCACCAAATTCTTCATGCTGCTCACTTTCCCGTTGTCCTTTCCCATTAGCAAGCTTTTAGATTGTGTCCTCGGGCAGGAGATCGGCACTGTTTACAACCGAGAGAAGCTGGTGGAGATGCTGAAGGTCACCGAGCCCTATAACGACCTGGTCAAAGAGGAGCTGAACATCATCCAGGGCGCTCTGGAGCTCAGGACTAAGACTGTCGAAGATGTGATGACTCCGCTGGGACACTGCTTCATGATCCACACGGACGCCGTGCTGGACTTCAACACCATGACGGAGATCATGGAGAGCGGGTACACCAGGATTCCCGTGTATGACTCCGAGCGCTCCAACATCGTGGATATCTTGTATGTTAAAGATCTGGCGTTTGTGGATCCTGACGATTGCACCACTCTGAAGACGGTCACCAAGTTCTACAACCATCCCGTGCACTTCGTCTTCCATGACACCAAGCTGGACGCCATGCTGGAGGAGTTCAAGAAAGGTTAGTGTGACACATCAGCACACAAATGTGGATAATCGCATGGGTCTGACACTGGAGATGGTGAATTATGCGCACATAAGGCTTATAAATCATACAGAATTAGTTTGATTTTGTTTTTCAGATAATAAAGCAGCATTTTTTACAGTATGTTAGCAGTGTTGGGTGATGTTAGTTGCATAAATTGCAATTAAATGAATGTACTTTTGCAGTGAAGAAGTAATAGATCACTTTAAAAAAAATAAATACAGTTACTTGTTATGTACTTGGCTAAAATGCTGTAATTCAGCTATTCTGTATAAGAGTGAGTTGTAAACATATATTAGCACACAAATATACACGGTGGCGCACAGCAAGAAGGTCGCTGGTTCGAGTGCCGACTAGGTCAGTTGGTATTGGTATTAAATAAGCTAAATTGTCCTTAGTGTGAGAGTGAATGAGTGTGTATGGGTGTTTCCCAGTGATGGGATGCAGCTAGAAGGGCATCTGCTGTGTAAAACATGTGCTGGATGAGTTGGTGGTTCATTCCGCTGTGGCGACCCTGGATTAATAAAGAAACTAAGCCGAAAAGAGAATGAATGAATGAATAAATACAGTTACTTATTATGTACTTGGCTAAATACAGTGTAATAATTTAATAATTCTGTGTAAATCAGTTCAGAGAAGCAGAGTGATTTGTAAACGTATATTTTAGCACATAAATATAGTCAAAATCACTGTAAATAAATATTTGTAAGACTTTTTAAGTAGTATGAAGTCAAGTAATTATACAAAGTAATTAGTGGGGTGGCACATTGGCACTTTCGCCTCACAGCAAGAAGGTCGCTGGTTTGAGTCCCGGCTGGGTCAGTTGGTGTTTCTGTGTGGAGTTTGCATGTTCTCCCCGTGTTCTCCAGTTTCCTCCACAGTCTAAACGCATGCGCTATAGGAAAATTAATTTACTAAATTGGCCGTAGTGTATGTAAGAATGAGTGTGTGTGGGTGTTTTCCAGTGATGGGTTGCAGCTGGAAGGGCATCCGCTGTGTAAAACTTGTCCTGGATGAGTTGGCGGTTCATTCCGCTGTGGTGACCCTGGATTAATAAAGGAACTAAGCCGAAAAGAAAATGAATGAATGAATAAATACAGTTACTTATTATGTACTTGGCTAAATACAGTGTAATAATTCAATAATTCTGTGTAAATCAGTTCAGAGAAGCAGAGTGATTTGTAAACGTATATATTACCACATAAATATATTGACAAAATAACTGTAAATAAGTAGTTGTAAGACTTAAAATTAGTATTAAGTCAAGTAATTAAATTGGTTATTATACAAAGTAATTAGTGGGGCGACACGGTGGCGCTTTTAACTCATAGCAAGAAGGTCGCTGGTTTGAGTCCCGGCTGGGTCAGTTGGTAGTGGGATTGAATAAGCTAAATTTTCTGTACTGTATGTGTCTGAATGAGTGTATATGGGTGTTTCCCAGTGAAAGGGCATCTGCTGTGTAAAACATGTGCTGGATGAGTTGGCGGTTCATTCCGCTGTGGTGACACTGGATTAATAAAGGGAATAAGCCGAAAAGAGAATGAATGAATGAATAAATACAGTTACTTATTATGTACTTGGCTAAATACAGTGTAATAATTCAATAATTCTGTGTGAATCAGTTCAGAGAAGCAGAGTGATTTGTAAATGTATATATTAGCACACAAATATAGTCAAAATCACTGTAAATAAATATTTGTAAGACTTTTTAAGTAGTATTAAGTCAAGTAATTATACAAAGTAATTAGTGGGGTAACACATTGGCACTTTCGCCTCACAGCAAGAAGGTCACTGGTTCAAGTCCCGGCTGGGTCAGTTGGTGTTTCTGTGTGGAGTTTGCATGTTCTCCCCGTGTTGGCGTGGGTTTCCTCCGGGTGCTCCGGTTTCCCCCACAGTCCAAACACATGCGCTATAGGGGAACTGATCAACTAAATTAGCTGTAGTGTATGTGAGAATGAGTGTGCTTGGGGGTTTCCCAGTACTGGGTTGCAGCTTAAAAAGGCATCCGCTGTGTAAAACATATGCTGGATAAGTTGGTGGTTCATTCCACTGTGGCGACCCCTGATTAATAAAGGGACTAAGCCGAAAAGAAAACGAATGAACAAAGTAATTAGACAGTAATTTAAATACAATTTTAGTGATGTAATTAGTAATAAACACTTGTTTATAAACTCGCAGGGAATAATACCATGAATGAGTGACACTGGTAAATAAAAATGCTGAATAGGAAAACACAGTATAAACCCTTTGCTGAAAATCTGTGCTGTACTTTTGTTTTGTTTTTCATTCTCCTATTGATTATTCTGAGAGCTGATCAATAACCATCTGCTTCCTCTGTCAGCCTCTGATCAATACTGAGATCATCTAGAGGTGGCGGAGACTCTTAAATCAAGGAGCCTTTTTTTCTTGACGAGCTAAAAATATTGTGTTGCTTTCAGAAATGAGTTGAAATGAAGCGAGCGTTCCCTTAAAACAAGCAAAATAATCTGACAATGGGCGAAGAGAAATGCACTCATTACTGTTGAAAGCTCACTTAATTTTGACTCATTATTATTTCTGAAAATATTCCTTCATTAAATTTCCTCATTCATCATGGGTCGCCACAGTGGAATGAACTGCCAACTATTCCAGCATATGTTTTACTCTGCGAATGCCCTTCCAGCTGCAAATTAACAGCCCAAAGCCCCTCCCACTGTATATTTCATCAGCCAATCAGAACAGCACTGCAGAAGGACGAATGCGATGACCGATTTGAGCAAGTCTCTACAAACCGTCCTACTGTGTTTCCACTGTTTGTTTAAAATGAGCTCCGCTGAGATATGAGTGTGTGTAAATAAGCTTATGAGTATGCAAATAAGTGATTTGATAAACACACAACCCTGAGGAGCTCTGGAGGACTTCACAGAAAAAAAATATTAGCTTTTTAAAACAGTTTGCTTGTTTATTAATATAAATATCCCTGTGAACATGACATATTGAAAATTACCAGTGGTGTAAAGTATAACTCATTACATTAGGGGGGGACTGAATTAGAATAATCAGTACTCCTGTCCAATCAAATCACACATAGAAGGTAAAAGTGTTTAAGAAGATGTTCAAAATCTTTACAGGCATTGACCCAGAGATTGTTTAGATGCAGGTCACTGATGAAAAGATGATGGATGTTTACTGTATGATGACCGTAATGGCCTTAAACACCCAGCAGACACGACGTCAACATGCCGTCAGATTGACATTGCACCCCAGCATTGTGGAGACGCTGCATTTTGTTTGGAAATGAAAATCGGGTTTACATCAGAACTTAACGTCAGGCTGACGTGTCTGATGTCCAACCTAAAATCAACCAAATATCAACGTCTAATGATGTTACAGCTTGAAGTTGTGTGGATGTTACCACTATGACGTCTATCAGACGTTGGATTTTGGTTGCCGTACCTGACAAATAAATGTCAGTATTTAACGTCAATAGGATGTTGGTTTAAAATGTTGACTCGATGGATTTTTGTTACTTTCTAACAATCTAAAATCAACCAAATATCAACGTTATTTGATGTCATTATTGGACATCAAAATAGCGTTGTCCTTAGACGCCGGCTAGACATTGCATTTTGGTCACCTGACATCACAACATAAATCTAACCTAATATTCACGTTGTATGACATTTTGTGCCTGCTGTGCTAACTAAATACGCTACAGAATGTTACGTTTACACACATCTACAAATGGCATGTTAACGCATAAGCTTTTACAGCGCAATACTCACTACTCACTACTCTTGAGTACTTTTGAAAGGGCTGCTTTTTACTCATACTTTGAGTAATATTTACAACAGATACTTTTACTCTACTGCACTACATTTATAGGCAAGTAATGGTACTTTTACTCGACTATGATTTTTCAGTACTCTTTCCACCACTGAAAATAACCTTTTAGAGGGTTGCATTATGGATCATATTTGTAGTTTTAAAATTATACATATCAGGGTTCAACACTAAGGATTTTTTTTCTACTGGCCTGTTCGGGCCAGTGGTTTAGATTTTTACTTGCCCTGCAAAAAAAAAAAAGAAAAAAGAAAAAAAAACTGTGTGTGTGTGTGTGTGTGTGTGTGTGTGTGTGTGTGTGTGTGTGTGTGTGTGTGTGTGTGTATATGTATGTATGTATATATGTGTATAAATGTGTGTGTGTGTGTGTTTTCACTTCCGCATCAGTCTGACCGCAGATCTGCATGACTGTAAAATCTCTCCTTACTGCTGATCTGAGAACAGAAGTTAAGCTAAACCTCTTTATTTATATCCATCCGCAGACGCTCTGACATTCTTACGTTTATATTTGGAGTTTTCAGGAGGTTCCGGCTGTGTTTTGGTAATGTTTTGCGCTCTGTAAGATTGTTTTGTGTAATCAGAAATGCTGTAAAAATGTTCAATAATTTTCTGATGTAAATCAGCGGTTCTCTATCAATAAACATGAGAGTGTCATTTATTTCTGTCGTTTAATGTTGGATTTATTACTCCAGTCTTCATGGTCATGTGATCCATCAGAAAGCATTCTGATTGGCTGATTTTATTTCCAACTTACTTTTTTTTTTATTTTTTAAAGCTGTAATTTCCTGATTTAAATCATCTGTTTTCATTTGTTGTCTTTTATTTCTGCTGTTAAAGCTGAATATTTATAACTCCAGTCACATGATCTTTCAGAAATCATTCTGATTGGCTGAACTGATCACCATCCAACATTTACGATTATTTTCTACAAACAAATCAGCATTTAGAGGCGGCACCATATCTCAGTGGTTATCACTGTCGCCTCACAGCAAGAAGGTCTCTGGTTCGAGTCATGGCTGAGTCAGTTGGTGTTTCTTTGTGGAGTTTGCATGTTCTCCCCGTGTTGGTGTGGGTTTCCTCCTGGTGCTCCGGTTTCCAGTCCAAACACATGCTCTATAGGGAAACTGATCAACTAAACTGGCCATAGTGTATGAGTGTGTGTGTGTGTGTGTGTGAATGAGTGTGTATGGGTGTTTCCCAGTACTAGATTGTAGCTGGAAGGGCATCTG